TGTTTTCACGTTGTCTATCCCATTCTTGTCAACACGATGTCTATAGAGCACCTTGAAGGAATTTCGTCAAATTTGGTACCAGCGTTCAGTTGGCCTCACTGAACTAATAAAATGATGGTGGTCAAAGGTCAAGGTCAAAACTCTGCCTCGTGAATGTTATCTTCCCTCAGGAATCGTTTCAAATTTAATTAAAAAAAAACCAACTAATTTAAAAAAAATCAACCTATCTACAAATACCTACAACACCACCAATTACAGAACTTTGTTTTTGTGTTCCCTGCACGTCCTTTGTTTTTTGTGGCACTTGCAGGAAGTTAAATTTGTTGTTTTGAGATAATTAGTGTGTTTTAATTTTAGTTGTGTGCATTTGTACACTTGAGTAGTTGAATGGATGAAGTTGTTGTCTTAATTGGTTAGTTGATTGGTTTGTCGCATTGGATTTGGTTTCTAAAGTCGTAGCTCTCTTGTCCCATCCAGAGATTGTTGGCCAAACATACACGCAGACACACACGCTCTATCGTTCTGTAAGGTCTTTTTTTCAAAATTGCTTATTGCTGACTGGGAATGAAAAGAGCCCTGAAAAGTGGGTCGTGGAAGCTTTTGTTTGCTTCTCTATCAGCTTCAAAGAAACATGACACAGAGCTGGTGGAGTGGGATGGATCTTGGCTGCCTTTCCATGTCTTTCTCTTTACTCTTATTCTCCACTTCTGGCATTGTGAAAGTGTAATCTTTTTCTTTGGAGTGTGAGTGTTTTTTAAACGGAGGCCTCACCGTGCAGAGGAATAGTTTAATGGACAGTCTATTCCAAAGGATGCCCTGGTGAGATGATTATTGGAAAAACCCAGAATCTGTGCTTGTGTCTTTTATGTTGTCAGTGTTTTGGTTTCTCATTGGTTTCCTTAAATAACTTTGCTTTTGTTCGTCAGCAAATAACCAATGAGGTCATGAATAAAACTTCAGGAGAAGGAAATGTTTGCAACAGTCTGTATTCATAATAGATGCTGATGCTAACAACACAGCATGCCATTTACACAGATGCCTCTGTACACTGCAGCTCAACATCTAAAATCTTTGACAGCAAAAATCACCAGCAAGTTGGTCATTAGCTGCCATCTTTGTGGAAGTTGCTATCATGAGGATTTGGATGGTTCCTCAGATAGCATTAATGGATGCCTTTTCAGATGACGGTACATGCCGCTTCTTGTTCATCTCTTCTGTTCAGAGCGAGTGCGCGTATTTTGCAAATGAGGTAACAGGTTTCATCTTTTGAGACGTTCTTCCACATGAGATGCAGTGGTTTGCTGCAATGACCCACCAGGCTTCTGATATGTTGTCTTCTCTAAAGCTTCAAGTGTCATTGTACTGGAGTCAAGTTACCAAGTCACTAGTCTGTCCAACACTTCATCCACAGTACTGTGTAAACATTTTACAATCTGAATTTCTTCTCCTTAACAGCAGAGGAAATAAATATGTTTTAAGTATCTTCAGTTATAATCTTTGGCAAAAGCTGAGCTTCCAAAGGGAAAAGATGAGTTTATTATGCTGTTTGTCCATATTGTGTTTTTTTTCTGAGGGGGCACGTCATTAAAAAGTGCTATGCATGGGTTTAGTTTCATTGACAAAAGCATCTGAAGCATTACGTCTCTGGCAGATCCTCTCCTAGGCTTTTTCTGTCTTTGTTTGGATCGTTTCTTTCTGTCATCTCGAACTGCTTCTCCTAGACAGTCACGACCAGAACAAACTCCTTTATTTATCTTGGTTACCAGATGCCAAGCCCTACCCCCATTTGATTGGTTTTCCTGGAAAGAAGCTACAGTGGCGATATCAGTGTCTTTTGAAAAAGTTAAGAGACAAGTCGACCGCTTGTTTTAGCAAAGATTTCAATGATCCCATCATTTATAATGTGGCCAGCACAAACAGCCTGCAAATCTGTTTCAGATCCTGTCGTCCCTATTCTGTTTGTGTGCATCCATGTGTGTATGCGCTTGTGTCTGTTAGTGGCATTGTGCAGGATACACACATTAAATACAGACAATCTAAAATCTGAAATACATAGCACTGAAGATTTTTTACAAATGCAACAGAAGCATAAAACACGTGCGTTGGGTTTTTCTGTGAGCACAGTGTTTTTGGTGATTTCCGTCTCCTTCCTAATTGCTTTGTGTTATGATGTGACCCAACCTGACATTGTGTTGTTCTGTGTGTCTCTGCTTGTTTATCATTTTTCAGAGACAAAGAGGCTTAATGTAAGATGGTCAGACCCCTGCAGTTGTTGTCTAGTCCCATTGGTTGTATCCACATGCAGTTCAATTACAGTGACTTATATGCTCCGATACTTTTATCCGATCCAATCACACAGCTTCAGCTCGGTCTGTCCCCGATGTTCACATTAGTTTCCCTCCAACATTTCTGAGCCTGCACCTGTTATCTAACAGATAACATTTTGGTGTTTTCGATGATTAGTGATTTATTTCAGCAGGTGCTGTTAAGCTTAAATTGTGCTGGGCTTCACTTTTCCTTTGAGATTTGAGTTTCAAGCTTTAAACAGCATTTTTCACCCAACAGTTGTAGCCTTCAATTCTGATCAATGTATTTTGCACTATGGTCTACTACTGTTAAACTTGTGATAGTCAAGCTTGTGATAGTCAAGCTTAAATTATATATTATTGCACTTCAATGTGTGGTGACTTATTTAATGATATTTCTTTGGGCTGATTAATAATAATAATAATAATTTGACAGAGGAAGTGGTATTTGCAGCTGGGCAGGCAGGGTCAGAAACAGAGAAACATAATGGTGAGATTTTCTATCGTACTCCCTATAATAAAACAGTTATGTTACAACCCATATCAATTTCACACTCAAGTGCCAAGTAACACAATTCTACAAGTGCAAAAATGTACATTTTCATTTGTAAACTTGCTGTCATTTGTTTATTATGTAAACTTTTTGGTTGGTGGGGTATTGAATCTTATCATTTTATTATTTTAAGAACATTCTTTACAAAGTCTGCTTTAATACATTTTGATTAAATCCATACTATAAAACAAATTTCTCCTAGAATTGCTACTACTATGTTCTTTGTTATTTCCAGTACAGTTTGTTTCTTGTTTTTACAGATCTCTATCCTCATGCAAAGAGAAAGATTGTTTAGCAAGATCTTCATCACAGTCATCGCTGAGGGCAGCGCAAGATAATTGCTGTAATACATTGGGACCACATGAACCACAGTGTAATTACACTCACCATTATTAACCTGTAGTCTCAGTGCACGGCTGTCACTTACGAATGGAATGAGCAGTGCAGCATCATCATATCACCATCCCAATATAGTACCACGATGCCTCATCAAGGAAATACACTGTGGGCTGTTTGAGCATGCAACAGAGAAACTTTGTAATACTGTATAAAGTCTTTGAAATATGACTGCACCATCATACACATAAATACATGGATCTCCCTCATCCTTCTGTATTACTACAGGGACTTATAGATCACGGCTGCAAAATAAACAAATGGATTAAAGGGTAAAATTATGTTTTAGGTCAGTCAGACATTATTCTTGAGGGAAACAATACTACTGACAGCTGCAGGAAATGTAATGAAAGCCCTGTTAATGGAAGTATGCATTTTAATAGCTGTGTTAATACAGGGGTCCACTTGTGGCTCGTCTTCTTTCTCTTTCTCCATTTGCAGCCTAATCTTGTTCTTAGTTGTTTGCAGATCTGTCTGCTCCTCCCTAGTGGGAGTTGCTCTTTAGCCTTGATAGTGTGATGGGAGCCTCCCAGTGGCCCACTGGCGTTTTTTTCCCCCTATCCTTCATGGTTATTCTTAGCCTCGTGTCAGAGTACGAGAGCTGGGAGACACGACAGGAGTGCCCACGCATGGATCCTCTAATGGGTGAGGAAGAGAAATGAGGGCGGGAGAATAAGATGAGCCAGAGATGGAGAAAGAAAGTAAGCTTCAGTGCATCTCGGAGCACAGCCCGCTTTATTGTGTGGCTTGCTAATGGGCTTCTACATCTTTGGGGAACCACGATTAGAGCCAGTGGGGAATCCCTGTCAGAGTGGAGTACAGTACTGACCTCAGGGCTACAGCGTGACATGCAGAGCCACATAGATGACCCCGTCAATAGTCTCAAACTCAGACACTTCTGAGGGAGGTTTCATGCTTCCTATCATTATCAGGCTATAGTACAAATGCTACATATATTATGTAATATACAAATTGAATCTTACATCAAGTCAAGCATGAGCAATTTCTCTGTTTATGTTTCTAATCTGATCTTACTGTTTTATTTTGCTTTACTGAATGTGATTTATTCAGAGCATAGTGATCCTACAGCAAAGTTCAATCAAACTTACTGAAAAACCATTACCAGAACTTGACATGCATTGTTTTTTTAAAGATAAATGTGTAGCAAGTGTAAATAATGTTATATATTTGTTTACTTGTGTTCTTATATTCTTGTTTCCAACAATGTTCAAACCTAGAGAAATCCCCACTTTTTTATTCAAGGTAATTTCTGCTAGCAGCCCGTCAGCTTTTTTCCCTTCAACTGTATAAGTCACTCTTAATGGATCATAATTCGCCTCAGGTAAATTTTCATTAGCAATGGCGTTAGAGACAAAAACTCCCATAATACCACACTGCTTCACTACGTCATCAAACTAGGTCTTTTCTTATAGTTTGGGTTGAGAGAAGTTACGTGTTGTACGTTTGATATAACAATTTTCAATAAATGTATATAAATGTTATTGACCAATATAAAATGGCAGCTATCTATTAAGTCTAATGTCTCATATGTGCTTGCTGATTACACATATGGGCTGTAACTGTTGTCCGACTAACTATTATCAGTTTCTTTCTTCTCCTTTTCTTGTCTTTCTTCAAGCAAGGTTGTTTTTCTAGTCCTTTTGTTATTATTGTCTCTTCCCCGCTTAAAATCTTGAGTACAGAAGTTTTCTAGCCTGAATAACCTTTGTCTATTGTCTCCACAGGGCATCAGCATAGTGGGGCCCAGTAATGCAGAGCCCCCACCTCGTCCTCCAAGTCCAGCCATGTATCAGGTGGATATCGTCCTGAAGAAAGGGAACAACCTGGCCATCCGAGATCGGACAGGTCAGAGTGCTGTTTCTCTTTATACTTGTTCACGCAACAATTTAGATTTGAATGCACAGAGATGGGGACAAGTGTAATCCTGCCCCTCTCTAGTTTACCAAAGCAAATCTTTTTATCACCGGCACATGAAGTACACCCAAGGTACCGCTTTATCCTCAAACTGTGTTATATTTAATTGTCAGATATTCTATTCATTTATCTTCACCCATCTCTTGTGTCCGTCTCTTTTCTCAATGTCATATTTTTAGTCCTCCTTTCTTCTCTTCTTACTATTCTCACATTTTACTTCCCTTTCTTCTCTCACGTCTCTCTCTCTATCCCCGTGTTGTGTTATTAAATCACACATCTCATCCCCACAGCTCACTACATTTTCCATGTGTGAAGTGAGATAGAATCCCTATGAATGATGTGACACATTTCCTATGAATGTGGGCCTGAACTTTGGCTTCAGCTTGGACGTTGCCACATTCAGGGATGTGGCGATTGAAGCTTGTATGATCTCCTAGATACTTTTGGGTAACAGGACAAGTCGTTTCCATTTCATACACAATGGAACAGCAGTACTCTCGCATTTTTGACAAATATGTAATAATCAAAATCCGAGGACCCCCCAATAGTCTGGTCCTTTTTAATAATAATTTTAATTTTAAAAGGGGTCAGTGCAGAATTTAATGTGCTACTATCATGAGTTTTAACTATGACCCTGTACAGACCTTGAGTGATCAAATCACAAGTGGTCAGTGCTGAGAACAGGTCTGAACGCACCCAAATGAACCTTGAATGAGTCCTGAGGTCTAATCACTCACATTGAAAGTTGGTCTGGGACACATGTGGCACATTCTTTTTGCTCTTGTCTCTTAATACCAGGTCTGAACTGTGCCTCTGCTGTGCATCTGTTTCAACCATCGTGGGAAGAAAACAGTATCTACTCTCATGCGCGTATTAAAGATATTATCTCACATTAAAGCATCTTGATGTACAGTAGTTTTCTGCTTCTTTGGAGTTGGTGTGTGATCGTAATGTTAAGTGCAGGACAGACAGCCTGCTGGCCACTGTGAAAACTGTCTGCAACACAGCCCTCGAATTGTATTGAAGCAGTGTATAAGTGTATATAAGCAGGCAATTATGTCTTGTGTAGTAGGGCAGCCCGCACAAGCAGGCCAGGTGTCTCCGACGGTGGTTTGAATAGTGACTGATGCCAAGGTCTCATTAGTGATTGTTGCAGTCTCAGTGCTGACAGTTTAAAATAAGCTGCCCTGCTCCATCTCTCGTACATTTTGCCAGACTACCTGTCCACCTGGATAATGAGTAAGCTGCAGAAATCGCCCGTCCTGTCATGAGTCCATCAAAACAGCTCATTATAGATAGTGGGAGACACAGACATATGGGTGCTTCGTGGAAATATTGATATATCAGTTGATGCCAAATATTTACATCTAGTTCTTGGACCTTTGTGGTTGCTGCTGTAGTACAGCAGCCGATTGACAAACTGGAGGAGACAGACATGGGATTGACAGGTTTTTTCCATTTACCTGTCGGCCTCGGCTCCCTTCACAGCTACGTAGAGTAGAGCTCTGCTGCCAAATTGAAGAAGTTTGTTGGAGGAAGTTCTACTAACAATTGATTCACTAAAAGCCCTGACATGAATTATAAATGACACAACTAGTTCCCAGTTTTGTCTGCAAAACATTTTGAGGCAAACTCTTATGAAAAATACTTCTGCTATATGGAAATTCACAAATGTCACTTCTTCACATCCAGTGCCCCTGGAAGTTCTAGTAAAAATAACTGTGCTCAAAGTAATGTCTCTGAACGACGACAGACAATGTGAATCACTTCCTTATTTCCTAAGCTAGTGTGGCATCAAACAGAGCTGCACCGAGCATTGCTTACATTGTAGCCTGAAGCTTAATGGAACATATAACACAGGATTGTTTCTCTGACTATGTAGAATAATTCAAAAGGACTTTGATATTAATAACAACGTGCTCAATAGCTGTGGTCAAAGTAAGTAATTTTTTAACACATTTTAGGGGAATAATGGACAGACTAGGGTCTGATTTCAGTTTGATATCAGTCAAACATATTGACAGAATAGAAAATGTTACCCAGTAGTGGCACACAGTTTTTTGTCACTTGACAACTTCTCTTTTACTCTTTTGTCTCCATGTCACTTGGAATCTCTGAGAGAGTGTGTCTGAGAGTGACCTTCCTTCATTGTGGGAAATTCTGCCAAAAAAATTGTAAAATGTAAAATCGGTTGAGTAGTTTTTGAGTAATCCTGCTAATTTACACAGATAAAAACATTACCTCTTACAACAAGGAATACATTGTAATTTTAAAAAGTAGATCTTGTCTTTATTATGATCTATTAGGGCTGATGTCCATCATGCAGACACTGACAATGTTTACAGATTCAGTGAAATTGATGAAAGGTAGCAAGAACAAGTTTACATCTGCAAATCTTACCTGCAAGGGTTATATCCAGTATTTTTCCCCATAAAGACTCTATACAGTAACATTGATTGATTTTGTCTGATTTTACTCAATAGTCTTACATATTTTTCTGGTATAAAACACTGCTGCTCATTTCTTACCTTAAACTGTATATCAAATGTACGTCTTTCTTTATGAGCCAAAGGAAACTCTTTACTCCAGCTGTCACGAGCAGTCATGTTCCTCATAAAGCAGTTCAGCCTTTTGCAGCCTCTTGCACTTGGATTTCTTCTCGGAGGTTGGTTTTAATCTACAGTCGTTGGGCCATTAGCCAATGGGATCTCCTTCATTTTTAGAAGACAGTGGTGCAAAAGTTTTGTGACTGATGCATGGAGATATCATTTCATCAGTTTCTCGGCGTTAAACAGACGAGAACCATTTGGTTTCTTTTTCAATGCAACCTCAATGAACTTGGTGTCAGAAGTGTCTCTTGAGTCTGCATGGTTAACCAATTTTCCAGTTTTTCACCAGGAGAGAAGGCCAATTCTGTTACATGGTTCGTCATTGAGGCTGTGAAATAAAAAATATGCATTGGACATGGATGAATGAGGGGGACATCATATGAAACACGTCTGTCACAGTTGTTGTATCGATGTTCAGTTTGTAGAGAACATGTGTCGACCTTAATGACGTGGTTCCCATCTAATCCTGCCTCCATTCATTTACATCTGCCTCTGGGGATATTTTATTGAATTTAATCTGCAGGAAGATGGACAAAAAAAACAGAAGCGATAGATACGTGGTTATATCCAACCAAATAAGCCATCTCTGAGTAACTTACTTGGATACCCCGTGGGTAAGACCCTGTTGTGTCCCCAGGTGCCCATCCCTGTCTAAGCTGTCACGTATGAAGATCTCCCTATGATGAGGGGAAGCTTTTTATGTGACCTCAGATGAAAACACTCTCCATCTGTCTCTAACCCAGCTTCCCTGTGGGTGAGGTACCACAAGGTGAAGTCTCTCTGTTGTCCAAGACCCGACATGACTTCATCCGTTCCCATCTTGCGTTACCACTGTGTGTTTGCGTGGGTGTCAGAGGAAGTAGAGGATATATATCTTGAGCCTTTCATGTCTTTTATCATGGGTTTTTTCATGCAAGTCTTCACTTTGCAGGCTCTGAAACTCTGAGGAGTCTCCTAATGCACATTACTGAACCATTCCTGCAGCTCTGCACTTCTGCTTTGCATGTAATGAATAATAATTCTGCAAATACACCTAGTTATAAAGTAGTGTTCACTGGATTGACAATTTTTAACAGTGATTGTCTGTTAAATGATTACTTTCTGTTTAGCTTCTAATTCCATTGTGTTATAAATGTACATCTTTACTATGCAGATCAACGACACAATATTTTCACTAAATCCATGTGGTGGAGGTAAAAATGGGATCTGTTTGTACTGTAGCTCATCTTGTTTTTTTATTTATTTGAGATCACTTGAGAACGGAATTAAAACAATGCACCTGTATTGTACGTTTTGGGTGCTTACTAGGTGCTTCATCACAAGCTGTTTGTGGTCTCTTCCTCCCTCGGGTATCATTCACCTCGTTCACCTGCTGATGGTTATTTCTCATTGGTTCCTCTCATAATGTGTTGTTACTCTCTCCCGTTGCATATTTTATTGTTCTTGTTGTTATTTTCATGTTGCCAATCCAAATATCCCTGATTTTGTTGTGGAGCCACAAACAGCTCTATTTATAGAGCCTCTGTGAAATGAGGTTTTCAGATTTTGGTTTGTTACATCTACGTCAAACAGAGGACAACATCACTGTAGGTGTCTGAGAGGCCTTAATAGATACAAGACAAAAGATTTGGACCGAGTTTTCCCAGAAAGGTTGTGTATATAATATACTGTATATGCAGACTTGATATGTAATACTGTAGAATCTACGAGTTGTAAAAACAAATCTAAATGTAATTTGCCTATAAATAGTCCTACCACTTCCTAGTTCCACTGATTCCTAATTTCATCCCTCTGAGACTAACTAATTTGCATATGCTGGCACATTTTGTGGTGTGTGTGTGTGTGTGTGTGTGTGTGAGGACCAAGCATAGACCCTACAGAGTGAGGAGATTTTTGGAAAGTGAGGAGATTTTTTATTACTTATTCAAAGTGGTGTTTTAGGGTTAAATTAAGTTTGGGTTGGGGTTAGGCATTTGGTTTGAATAGTTTAGGTTAAGGTAAGGAGCTAGGGAATGTTTTATGTCAGTGAGTGTCCTCACAGTGATAGAAGTACAGACGTGTGTATTTGTATTTGGACTAATGCTAGTGTTGAGGTTTACAGGGATCACATCTCAGTGCAGCTAGGATCAGTGAGATTTCAGGAAGCCTAATTTTCTCCAAGCACAAGAGTTTCTTAAAATACGATAAAGTGAGAGGCAGAGCTTGACACCACTGGCTTCAACTTGTCTCATTTAGTTTCAAGTCCCCTTTGCTGTTTTCTCACCTCCTGTGTTATTCTCCCACATGCTGTGCAGTTGTCTGCTTTATTTTTATCTCAGCTTA